CGGTGATGATTTTGCGTTGAAAACTGATGTGAAAAAACATCACTGCGAACGTGAATGAGATGAAGAATTGGTCAACATAAAGGAATTGGAGAGTTGTTGCAAGAAGAGAGGATTGAAGTGTGCATTTAAATAGGCGACTGCATCGGTGAAGTTGCGAGTGTCATCGAGCGACGAAACGCTCGTTGGATTCAACATCGCTGATAAATTCACTGATGGCGTTAGTAGCGGTGTACTGCTGTTCTCTGTTGCTGTGTACTTCTGTGTTGCCTCGGATATCTGCAAGCAACTTTGCATTCAGCTCAAACGAATTCATTCACATTCCCTCATATTATCAAGCCGGATTAAAGTCAAATGAGAGCATTCCTACTCTGCTTCAAATCTATCCCTTAACAACTCTGACACTTCGCTTCAAACCTACTTCTAATTGACGTCCAGTAAAAAGTTTTCATAACGAATATGATTTCATTATACTGCAGGCTTATGATGCACTTATTGAACTAAACTGAAGTGTTCATGCAGAGTAAATGAATAATAATCAGTTGAATTAATCAACAATCAGTTGGACTCGGCGATATTGATAACACTCAAAAAGATTTCACAACAACTAATTTAAGTACTACANGTAAATTTGATAGGAAGGAATCCATTCCAGTTTGATGATGATCTGACTAAACAATGAATGCATGTAGAAGCAAATATAATATATGAAAAATTAGAAGTTGAGTGATGTGAAATGAAATGAATATAAATTCACTGGCTATATTCAATTGTGAATGAATTGATGTAAATACTATTAAAACAAAGCATTCGATGTTATTGATATCAGTTTTCAATCAATCTTCTTCCATTAAACCAAATAACATTTGTTCGAAATATTGTTCACTTTGACAGTATGATCTGAGATCATTCAGTAGTACCATTCTATGTGAAAACTAATCAACTTGTTTCATAACAATTAACAATCACAACAAAACAATCATTGCAAAAGAATGCTGCTCAAAGAAAAGCGGCCTACATAATCGTGGCGCCAGCAATAAGCTAATATTTTAAATGAACCAATAAATTACGGCATTTAGAACACACCAAAAGTTGGTTTTTCAGCTCTTAAAAAATCAATCACATCTATGTAATAATGATCGTTTCATTTCAATTACACAATGGGTTTGTGGATTGGTATTATTGTTAGTGTGCAACTTTTCGAGAACAGAAATCGCAACTGAAATATATGAAACCTGCTTCACTGATCGTCATATGCGCTCACTTAATTACGAACTGAGACAAATAGATTTTTCAATGAAAT